TTACTTATAAAAGCATTTCATATGAATTTTGAAAAAAGCTTGGTCAAGTTTTTTGAAATAAATTTACAGTTTTGTATGTCTAACTTTCCTGTATTTTGCCTGAAGAAGCCACATTTTTTCACTGACAGAAGGAGCTCTGGTGAAGGAATTTGCATTTTCCTCTTGCCACTGCATCCAACTATCCTCATCCATAGTTTACCAAAATGGGTCAAATGTTGCTCTCAGAATTTTAAATTTCAAATTCCTTATATATGCAAATAGAGGTGGGAGGAGACTAGTAATGTCTCCCTTTGAATGCCAGAAGATGGGTTTCTTGGGGAACTGATATACAGCAGACATGGTAGTAGGTTAGGTGTATCACTAAGATCGCTGAGATATTGCACCAGATATAAAGAATATGTCTGTCTCACCCAAGATGGGCAGTAGCTCTCTACATGCCTGCATTCATTAATGTCTGAACTCCACTGCTTTGTGTGAGCGATTCTTAAATCTGGCTAAAAGAATCACCTAGAAGCCTCAGAAGATCTCTTTTAATTAGTGTGTTTTGGGACACAGGATTTGGTATTTTTAAAGTTGCTTGAGTGAGTCTAATGTGCTGTCAGTTTGAATATCAAGCCTCGTGGTGAATCATACTTGCTCTTTAGAATGCTAGTGGAGTGAGTTCTTCCAAAACAGGAGAGATAACAGGAGAAAAGATAACACTAACTAGAAACTCTCCCAGAACATCAAGACAGAAAATGCAATCATGAATATGGCATTAACTTCAGGGTGCTCTTCTGACACATTTAGAAGATAAAAGATGCTTGAGGTCATTTTACAATGGCATTACTGACTAGGGAGCACTAAGTCAAGATTAAACATCTTCCTTTATTATAGGAGTTTGCAGAATCTAATTTCTACATATCCTAGAGAAAGATGTGATGTGCTGTATTTCTTAAGCTTATTTAATTATGTGATCCTTGTGCAAAACTCATTAGTATCTTACACAAACAAATTTTGGAAGTATTTGTTCTAGGAATTATTAGTGTATGCATACACACTGGTAGTTAATTCAACCTTGAAATATTTTTATTTGTAATATAACTGATCAGTTTTTAATAACTGTTTTAAGTTGTGGATGTGACTGTATCAGAGATAGAAGAATTATTGACTTACACAGTAGTCTTGGCACTTGTATTCTTTTGTCTCTTAAGAAAATAAAATGAGGGCAGATGTCACCTGCAGATGGGAAGATAGTTTGCATATTATGGACCAGGAACTTCAGAGGCTTTAGATTTCAGGCCTTGTCTAAGAACTTCTATCCCCGAGAGAGGGACAGTAAATGTTGCTTCCTAATAGAAGCATTTATTTTCTGAGAAGAGATGAGGGCTGTCCTTAGGTGTTTACAACTACCTCTTGTAAACAAATAGCCTTATATTTTATCATTCTTGTATGACTAAAATATAAGCACAGACCTTCTGGTAAATAAAGCACTATATTTTTCTAGAGCATTCCTTCCTAACGTTGGTATTCAGTCATTCTTTAACCCATGTTGCTATATTAGTTTTTCCTCAGAGAGCCAATCAAAACCACGAAAACATTCATATGACTTTCACAATATTATCTAATATCAATTGGGAAATTCTTACTCATGTCAAATTTGTTCTTGATTTAAAAATACATTCTAGTATCAATTCGAGAAAATTTTTCCTTCATGAGATGACTACTCAGAATAGTTCCAGGATGCACAGAAAGATTGTTTACATGAGAGAAATGAGTCTTCTTATTCAGGTGACACCTGTCTTTAAAATGCATACTTGTTTAAATTTAGTTACCCTTACAACCTGCCTTATATTGAAAACTGTTCGCCTTCTCAAGGAATCAAAGTCTTTATGTAATGAGTTACAATTTTAATTAATGACTAATTAGTTTAAGGTCACTAAATTCTACCCCACATCCTGGTTTTCTTGAATTCAATGCTGTGTTTCACTGGTGCCTCCCTCATTAATAAAGCATTGCTTGCAGTTATGTAGCACCCTATATATCCGTTGCTATAAGCATATCTGCATTATTTAGAAGCTTTTCACATCTGTGGACATTTGCCTTGCTTCAAGGCTTTAAATAGTAGGAAACTACATGAGATACTTAAAAAGTATACAACTGCTTCAATTCCTCTAACTTTTCAAAGCTTTCTGAGATTTTACTTGTCACTAGCGAGTCTTTCATCCTGTTCAGTCCACATAAGAATAATTACAGACTCACCAGTCTAGGTTACTCAACCACCCTGGAATTTAATACCTTACTGAGCATACAAAAATACAAATATAATAAAAATCCATTGATGCTCTAAGAAAAGTATAATTTGCTGTGGTAATTTACATGTTTTCTAATAGCACCATAATGTTTTTCTTTAATGTTTTCAGCTCTCAAAGATATCAGAAGATATAATGGTCAATACAGTGAGCTCTAACTCTAAAGTACTTGGTCGCATAACCTAAACCTGCTTATTTTTTAGTAATAGTAAGTATAGTAGTAGATACATTATTTAATCTCTTTTTAAATTTCCTCATTAGTAAAATGATGTTATTGATAGCATTGATGTAAGGGTAAATTAATGTCTGCAACTGATTTAAAACAGAGAATATCTCTTAGTAATGCATCTAATCATCACGCTAACCTTTAATAAATAAAATCTAGTTTGCTAATTTTGAGCGCACTGTAATTTTACCATTGGTAGTTCTGCATCGGCAGCACTGCTCTCAGATAAGGTGGAATGGAGTGTAGCTGAGGTATAGTTCAAGTGTTTGAAATATACATGGAAACTAGAAATTGAATAGCAAGTTTGGCATCAAGCCTAATTATGTGTGAGTTGGGTAAATATGATGGAAGCAAAGGAGAAGTGACGGATGGTTGTCAAACAAGCCCGGGAGTAAATGAGCAATAGACTTTTCATGAAAAAAATTGAATTTAGACAATTTGAGCCATTAATCTCAAAGGAGGCAAACAGTTAAGCTGAGGTAAAGGGAGTCAGATGAGGCAGTGGCTATCAGACCCGGGGCTGCTTTGCAGATGTGGGAAACTCAGAATATTCCTATTGCTGCTGATGCTACGGAAGGTGCTTTTGCCTGTGTACATTTTGAGGACTTAAAACCTTTATAAATATAATTTGGTAGATACAGTCTTGCTAAAATTTTCTTTCATAAGAAAAAAAAAACCATTCACACTGCCTAAATCTGTTTCTACTTCATTATTTACTCCTCAGTCTCTGCACAATGCAACTATGGATCCTGTCTACACCTATTCTGTTTGATTTGTATCGGTAGTTTTCTTCCTTGGGTTTATTTAAATAGCTGTTAACTACCTATGAATTTGTTAAAGTTTACTTATGTGTGTTCTAATATCAAGTTTCTTTGCTCTTGAGCAGTTTGGGACCTTCCTCCACTCCACAGTTAGCTATTTTCCTGTTTTAAAGGTTTTTTTTTTTTTTTTTTTTTTTTTTTTTTTTTTTTTTTTTAATGACAGTCTCATATTAATAAGCCATGCAGAGTGGCTTTATTTGTAAATTTAGGTTTGTTGGTAGATATCATTTTTATTTCTGTGTTGATGTTTTCAGTTCATGTAACACATATAGTCCTTGGAAGGATATGACTTCCAAGATAGTCCCAGGGAAATAAACTCCCAGTTTCCTCTGCAAATTTCACTCTTTAGGTAACTTCTTTTTGAGACATGTAGTACACTAGTTTTAACTGATATTCAATGAATAAATTAAGAAGTTTTCATTACACATAATGGGAATTTCTTGACTCTATGTATTTAATAACATATGAAAATAATATATTACAGTTAAGAACTTTTAAAAAAACATAGTCTGGACTGTGATAAGCTGATAGGTAAATTTAATTCTGTGAAGGATAATCTATAGCTGCTATGAAAATGGCCAGTGTCATGGCCGGTGTACTAAATACCACTGTGACCTAGAAAGTCCACATTGCTGTGTACTGATGAAAGCTACATAGGATCACAGCTGCTACCTTAAAGATGAGTTGAGAAGGCCTCTTATTTCTAATGTAGACTAGCGACACATGCTCTGCATATTTCCACAGAGCAGCCGCAGGTGACCCAGCTGCTTCCTAAGTGGTGTTAAATTTGAATTGCTGACTGACTCCCAACTATACGTGCAGGAATACATTTGCTGTGGGTGTGTGTGTGTGTGTGTGTGTTTGCCTGTGGCTGCGTGCATGTATTCATGGGGAGAGAGCATGGAAGAGATTAGAGCACAGCTGGCCAAAGAAGTTGTATTTCACCGGAGAGATGTGGTTTTTAACCACACCCTCTAATGGATCTGGCCTGGCGCTTTGTTGGATACAATCTTTCCATATCAGTTTAAACTCTCTGTATCCCAAAACATTTGTGCTTGTATCCTCTGGCTCTGAATAAATCTTCTATTTTCATACCTCCACCAAGCAGTTGGCCAACTGATACTTTAGAATAGCATTAGATGGCCAAATAAGTAGCACCATCTGCCACAATTTAGAGCAATCCTCAGTGGTGCTGTGACAGCTGTGTGGTTCTCACTCCTGAACACCAGAATTCATTTGTCAGAAAGGACACATATTCAGTGTTTGAATGGCCATTTTCTCTAAAAGGATTGACTGTTTCCAGCAATGCAATGCTCTATTGTTAGGAAAGTCAGATTTTTGGAAACTGTTATCTATGCTACAAAATACAAATCCCTAATGTACATGTTGACAAAATAGTCCTTCTAGGCAATTAGATTGAAAATCAAAATTTTGAAGTTGAGTGTTAATGTATGAAAAGTCATTATATCCTCCCCAAGAGCTTAATAACTTTTATTTAATACATAATCTTTAATAAGTTTGATTATCTGGTTTGTGAGGAGAAATAACAAGCTGGAATTAGACGTGGCAGGATTACAGCTGAGAGAAATTCAATAATTAGATAAAAGTAGAAGAGAAAAATTAAAACATAGACCATGGTTTTACAAGCATTACAATGACAAATTGTGTGATCATTTAATAAATACCTATTTATTATTATGCAGACACTTTTATTTATTTATATGCAGACACTTTTCTGTTTTTTCTGTCACTTCACTGGAGTATATATATGACTTAGTAGGGTTTAGTAAGACAAAATCCATTTACTTAAAGAGTGTGATGTCTCGTCAGATGAGATATATTATTAATAATGCATATCAAATTATACCAACATTATTATAGAGACACATAAATTAATAAGTAAGTGCACACTGAACTAATTCCAAGCACACAAAGAATTCACTAAGGCTGAGGCATTTAAATTAACTTTTTAAAAAAGTATACTATGTGAATACACAGAGGCAGAGAGCATAACATTCCATGCATGAGCAAATTTGAAAACCTGAAGAATTTTTCAGAATAGAAAGGATTCATTGCTTCAGATGTCTAGAAAAAAGTCTGGCACATGGTAGGTTCATGAACAGCTTATCTGTATTTCATGCACAGTATCTAAGTTTAGATTAATAACAAAAGATTAACTGATTATACATGACAACAGGAAAATACATATGACTGCATAAGCACTAACAATATAAATATGTGGGATGTTTTCTGCCTCTTAAATTGTTACTACAAGACTCTTTATAATTCATTCCTTCTACTCATCCCTGGCCACAGCCAACTGATAGTCCATTGCCTTTTCTGGGTAATTTGAATATGTTTATATTACAAACAGGCATATGAATGAACTGATTTTTAGAATGAGCAGGCATGCATGAACTTTGAAGTAATTCTAACGTGTATAAGAAAGTACTTATTAGGATAATTTCACCAGAGAATTAGAATTTGCTTTAAAAGAAAAATGAGAATCATGGAAATAAAAAATAAACAGTTGTAATGAAGAGCTCAATATGGGCTTTAATATCAGATTAAAATCCCCAGAAGAACGGATTAGCAACCAAGAGAATAGATTAACAGAAAATTTTACTACTGAAGTGGAAAGAAAAGAGAATGAAAATTTCAAAACAGAGTTTAAAATGAAAAGCATAATACAAAGCTCAGGTTTTTGTTATAGCCTTATGCATGAGTGTTCATGGAATCATTGCTCTGCTCCACGTCTTTCTGCTTGGTAAACTTCCGCTGATCGGTGGCTTGCTCCCAGGCATGTAGAGAGGAGCAGTTCCAGTATTCTTCTCTAGTCCGCAGCAAATTGAACCTGGTGTTGAAAGTGGAATTGAGATTGGAGTATAAATAAAATCTTTTTAGAAGATGAAGCCAGCAATAAAAGCTAATATTTTTTTAGAAATCTCAAATGAATTTATTAGCAGAATTAATGAAAGTGTGGTTTACACACAATGAAATACAATCATTTCTGTGTAATTCGGTGTGCTAACAATATATACAATAGTTCCATGTTTCCTAAGAGCTCCCGTATGCCTTTATATAGTTACCCTGATCTACTTTGGCCATCATCAATCAGTAATCTGCTTTATGTTGTTATGGATTAGAATCCCATATTTTGTAGGTAAGTGTCTAACTTCTCTCAGCAAAATGTCTCTAAGACTTATTTGTGTTGCTGTTTATCATTAATTAGTTCCTTCTTAATATATTATATATATCATTAATTAGTTCCTTCTTAAATCTATTATATACCAGAATATGGACATTTGGTTGGTTTCTAGATTTTTAGATATTGTGACTAGAACTGCTTTAAACATTAATGGACAAGATTCTGTGAGTATACATGTCTTTTTTCAGATGAATGAATTTATTAATTATTTAAACAGTGACTTTTCAGTCATATAATAAATGTATTTCATAACAAAAACTTTGTAAAGAAATTACAGTATCAAATACTCCCACAAACAATGTATGAAGTCATAATTCCTCCCCATAAATGCTGAAACTTGGACTTACTGATTTTTTTTTTTCATTTTTGCCATCATGTTGTGTGCAAAGTTCTGTCTGTGGACTTAATTTTCCTTTTCCTGATGGCTGTTGTGTCACATGTGTCCATGTGCTTTGTGGTCAGTCTTATGTTGGTGCAGCATGATGGCAGGAAGCTGTCCACTTGTCAGTTTCTTTACTCAAAAAAGAAAAAGAGTAAAATTAAATTTATTTATAGTTTTCTGCAAACATGATGGACTGTCCAAAGGTCTGGTTTCTGCACTGCTTTATTCAAAAATCAGATGAGAATCACACATAGTTCAGATCTCAAGTTAAAAGCCACGAAAACGTTGAAACACATCGTGACTTGTGAAAACTGCAGAACTTCAGATCTGCCCTGGTGGGCGAGATTATCAGCAGGGTTATACAACAGAACACTGGAGGCCCCACGCGGGAAGCGAGAGTGAAACTCTTATGGAAGTTAAAACATTTAAAAACAGTGATGTACTCTATTCTGGAGCTAAGGGCAGGGTGACAAACATATGCATGCTCAGGGAAGAGACACCATGAAAAGACTAGAACACACACTAGATTGCCACCTCCAGCTCATTAGGAAATGTCTTCTCCCTCACTGAGCCAGCCTGCAGAGACTGGATTTACAAAAATGTGTAGTTTTTAACAAAATAGACAAAAAAAAAAAAAAACAAATAACAACAACAACAAAAAAACAAAAACAGGAAAGTACAACTCTTTGAAAGAAATAAATTACTTTTCCAGAAACTGAACCTGAAGTTGCAGGGTTTTGATCTTCTAGACAAAGACTTAAAAATAAACTGTATTATATATACTCAAAAAGCTAACAGAAAGCAATGAACTATGAGAAACCAGGGATGAAGTGGCATTACCAAAATGATATAAATTACTTTTAAAAAACCGAATAGAAACTATGGGGCTAAAAAATGCAACTGAATTCAGAATATTACTAGAGAGGTTTAGTAGCAAGCTACAGCAGGAAAAAGTGGAGGAAATCAGTGAACTTGAAAATAGGACTTTTGAAATTATGGAATCAGTAATAAAAGAAAAAAATGAAAAGTCTTCAGGGAGATAAAAATAGAAATGGAAAGAGAGATTATTTGGAGAAGTAATGGCTGAAAGCTTCTCAAACTGGAGGAGAGATAGAAATAAAAAATATGAGAAGCTTAACAATCTCTAAATATAGATGACTTTACAGACTCTACTCAAACTCAATAATCAAACTCTCATAGCTAACAGCTAGAAGGACTCTTGAAAACAACAAGAAAAAAACCCTGACTCATTACAGAAAAGCGATCCTCAATAAGAATATCAGTGGAGTTTTCAGTAGAAACCTTACAATCCAGGAGACAGTGAAATGATGTGATTAAAGTGAAGAGGAAGAAATAACCACACGTCAATTTGTAATTTCGATCTCTATATCCAGACAGCCTGCTATGGATTAAAAACTGGCAGTCAATTTAATGCCAGCTGGATTACATCAGTATGGTGCTGAGCATAGATATCCCACCTGAGGAAAGTTGCCAGCATAAATAGGTGGAGAAGGAGAAGGATGGTGTTAAGACATTAATGAGTTACTGCACTGAGTTATTGTGGGTTCTCCTACGTATTGCTGTTTCAGCCGTTAGATTCTCCTGGAGAAGCTCTAGTCCTCACATCGAGCATTGCTTCCTGGCTCCAGAGGGGAAGACATGTGCGGCTTGGCCTCCAGGATGAACTCCTCATGCTGGCTTCCTGGCATGTACCCGTTTGAGCTTGTCATCAGAGGAGCTCGGGGCCTCCTTGTCACTTAGGATGACTATGGTGCTTTTCAGGATCGCCCTGATCTTTGTTGTGAGTGTGACTTCTCAGCTCCAGCGTAGAACCCTCATCCCGTCAGCACAGCTCCTTCATCCCACTGGCATGGACTTTCTGGCTTCCACTGCTGAACTTTGGGCCTTCCCAGCACAGATCCATAAAAGAGACTGGCGTGAGTCCTTCTTGTGGACTCTGGACCTCCAGTGAGACTCGTGGGAGGCACTGTCATGAGCTCTGGGTTTTCATCTGGACTCATGTGGGACACTGCTATGGGATTTAAGCCCTTGACTAAATATTCTATGTCTTTGGAATTGTGGATAGATTTTCTGCATTTTCTTGTGTTAACTCCCAGTGACCATCGTAAAACAATATTGTAAACTCCATGTCCTGATTCTGGTTGTTCTCTTCAGAACCCCTGACTACAACACAGCCATTATAGAAAAAGAAAACTTTAGACATTTCAAGAGAAGAAATTCTGCATTGTCAATAATGCACTGACCAGTCAGATAGAAGAGAAATAATGAAACAGAAGACTTAAATACTTCAAAACATCAACAAATTCAAAAAGACATATAGAGAAGAATCATGCAGGAATTAGTAAAACACATATTTTTTTCAGGTACATATAGAACATTCTCCAGTAGAGATAAAGTTTTAATAAATATAAAACACTTTAATAAATACAATAAGATTGAAATCATACAAACTATTTTTCTGTTCATAAAACAACAGAAGTAGAAATCAATACCTGAAGAAAAACTGCAAAATACACAAAAATATGAAAATTAAGCAACATTCTCTTAACCAACAATGAATTAAAGAATCACAAGGAAAATTTTTAAAAATACCTTAAACAAATGAAAATAAAAATACAGCATATCAAAATTTATAAGATACAACAAAAGTATACTAAGAGTAGTTGTAAGTGCTTATATTAACAAGGAAAAAAATTCTCTAAACAATAGAACTTTGTATACTGAACAACCAGAAAAAGAAGAGTAACCTAAGCTTGAGACCATTATGATAACTAATGCAAAAGTAAACAAAAGTAATAAATACTATCGATGATGTGGACAAGTTGCAGTTTGCAAATCTTATTCAGGATGGCAATGTAAAATGGTATGGTTATTATAAAACTGTGCTGTAATTTATCAAAAAGAGAATCAACGTATAATCCACTAGTTCTATTTCTGGCTCTGTTCCCCAACAGAATGGAAGTTAAATATTTGATCAGATATTTGTATGCTCATTCTTATTGGAAGCATTATACACAACAGCCAAAAAGTAGAAGTAACACCAGTGTCCACCTATAGCTGAATGTATAATCCATCCAGTGGGATGTCACTCAGCTTATAAAAGAGAATTCTGGCACACATTGCAGCATGGGTATGCTAAGAGAAATAAGCCATTCAACACAGGGCCTATAACTGCATAATTTCACCTTTACCAAGTATGCAGAGTTAAATTCATAGAGGCACAAAATAGAATCATGGTTTCCAGTCACTGAGAGAAAAAAAGAATAAAGATTTATTGTATGAACAGAATTCTAATTTTCAAAGCTATAAAGAGTTTTATGGAGGTGGATGACAGTGAAAGTTACATACCAAGGTGAATCTCCTCAATGCCAGAGAAGGGCTCTCTCAAAGGTGGTTTAAGTGGTTAAAAAAGAGACCATTCTGCAAATTATTTTTGAAAATAAATTATTTTTCATACCTACCATGAATATTGTAATTATTTTCATGTAAATAGCATATTATCATATAATGAATATACTATTAACATTTCAAAATGAAATAAGTTCAGGTCATTTTGTTTCCAAAAAATTCTGGACTGCTCTCGATCACTTCCATCTACTAAACTTCATAATCAATTTTTTGATTTCTACCAGAATTTTGACTATGATTTTTGCTAGACTGCACTGTATCTCTGTTGCAAATGTGTCCATATTATTGTCAAAGGCACTGATTGACTTTGGACTCTTTTTCAAGGATATTTGTACAGTGAAAATCCTGAGAAGAGAGATACACTGTGCTATCTCCCTCAGAGCAAATGCAACACTTTCTTGTAGACCTAAACATAACTGCATCTCTCCTGGATCAGAGGATGCGTGTGCTCAGTACTCCATAGAGACGTCGCAGTTTAAGTCAGTACTCCTCTTCTAGAACAATGCATAATGCATCTCTGTGTCATGTCAATCTCTCTGGAGATATCAATCAACTGGAGAGGTTTGGAGGTAAAGGAATTGGTAAAAAAAAAAATGCTGATACCTAAACTATTGATGTCACTGTAAACAGAAAAAAAAAATAATTGATTGCTGACCAAATTCTTGTGTCTTGTGCCAACATCAGGAAACTGTAGCAGAAAAAATCGCTAAGAGGGTAAAATTTCAGACTGTTCATCATTCTTGTCATGGATGGTGTAGGGTATGTTGGTCTGTTTAAGCAGTGATATCTCATACCGTGAGACCTTCTAATGCATGAGCAAGAGCTGCTTCTTCATTTATTTGTCTTAATTTCGTCAATCAGCATCTTATAACTTTCCACATACAGATTTTACACCCGATTGGTCAAATTTTTCCCAAACTGGCCGTATTGTAATTTTGCATGCCAGTGGAAATGAAGTTTTTTATTCTCAATTTCCAACCACCCATACTTGTGACATCCACATATATTTGATATGTTTGTATTGAGTTTAATTTGATAGCTTATTATATAGTTATTTAGTTTAAAAGCCCATTTGTAAAGTGAGAATTTTTTAATAAATATCAACATATTGATGAGTAATAAAGATTTTTTTCTGGTCCAATTTATATGAAACTTACTTCACTTTTTAAATTTATTTATTGATAAGACTTGCAAAACACTATTGTTTGTTATGCTTTTCTTTTTGTTTTTCAGTGCTGAGGATGGAACTCAGCCTCAAGCTTACCTGGAAAGTGTTCTATCAGTGCAGTATGAATGCAAGTCATTAGGGCAAACAATTTTCCTGTTTTTTAGATTCAATTTCTCACCATTATTTGTAATGAATATTTTATAATTTTTTGTAATATTTTTTAGTACTGGACATTTTTTTTAAAAATCAGGTTGAGGAAATTCATTATTGAAGTTGTCTTGATCTGGGGGTTCCTTGCAGGAAAAACATTTGATTATTAATTTGATTTTGAATAATGGTGTGGGGTTTTCCATTTTTCTGCCTTTCAAAAAGTTTTCTATTCCACAATTTTATTTGCATAATTTGATTCTCTTTTCCTTCTTATGATGGATGTTGTTTCTGTGCTAAAGTCCTGTTTTACCTCTGACACATACTTTTTATGTTTCCTGATTCACTTAGCTACAAATTTTTATACTTCACTGATCATTTCATA